TAATATTTAAATTTATGTTTTCTGTTGATATTTATGTTAATCAGTTTCTGTTTCTTTCTTCTGAATAAGACAAGGACTTTATAATTCACCTGCTTTCCTTTCTCCCAACCCCTCTTCTTACCCTCAAAATTACTCCTGTCAATATCATATTTGTAGTTTTGAATATTAGTAAGCTGTTGTGTTTTGTTTTTTATTTCAAATCAACACTTAAAGGCTTTGCTGGTTTCTCTGCTTTACTCTTCTTGTACCTTGATTATTATTTTGGATTAATTTTTTTCCCAGATATGTATCTTTGAGCATTTCTCTCACCAGAAATCTGAGGGAAGCAAAATTTTTGTGTCCTTGTAGATTCAAAAATTGTATTCTCACACTTGAGTGAGAGTTTGAGTAGATATATAATTCTAGGTTTAAAAGTATATCCAGTTGTCCCAGGACCATGTTGAAAGACTATTCTTTTCCCATTGGATAGTCTTGTCACCCTTGTCATAAGTCAATTGACCATAGACATAAGGGTTTATTTGTGGACTCTCAATTCTAATCCATTAATATATGTCCACCCTTATGAAAGTACTGCATTGCTTTGTATAATGTATTTTTATAGTAAGTTTTGAAGTCAGGAAGTGTGAGTCTTCCAGTTTAGTTATTTTTTAAGATTGTTTTGGTTTTCTGGGTTTCTTACATTTCCATATGAAGTTTAGGATTAGCATTTCTGCAAGAAAGGCAGTTGAACTATTGCTAGAGCTTACTCAATTCTCTTTTACATATTAAATTTAAAAATGATTTTCACTTCTTCTTTCTATACTGTATTCTGGTGAATTTCTTCGCTTCAGATTACTAATTTAATTTGTTCTTCTTTTTCAGTCCTTATTTAAGTTTTTTAGTTCAGTGATAAAAACTTGACTTCAAAGAGTTCCAGTTGATTTCATTCATTTATTTATTTTAAAGAATAGTTTATTGCTTTTTAGAGAAAGAAGAAGGGAGAAGTGAAAAACATTGATATGAGAGCACAACATCGATCAGCTGCCTCCTCCATGCTCCCTACCTGGGATCTAGCCTGCAAACCGGGGGATGTGTCCTGACCCAGAATCGAGCCAGCAACCTTGTGGTGCATGGGACAACACCCAACCAACCGAGCCATGCCAGCCAGGACCAATTGATTTTATTTTAAATAAATGTTATCTTACCTATCTCTGAAGATATTAATTGTACTTAATCTAAGGTCTTATTCTATTGAATGTATTGTCTCTTTCTTTAAGTGTGAGTTCTATTTGTGACACGAATGCCTCTTTTTCACGTTCGAATCTTGTTTTGTGCTCATTCATCTTTGTTTGAGCGTCCTGGTTAGCCTCCTGTGAGTATGATAGTGTGTATTGCAGCCGATATCCATTGATTGTGGGTAGTGATCAAATATGCAGTGAGATGGAGTGTACCAATTACCAGTCTTCTTTAATGTGTCTCTACTTCTGCCTCAGGCTTAATATCCACCCAAGGCTCTGTCCTGTCTCTCTCATCCAAGTGTTTATACTCACTGTTTTTCTTGGCAGGGTGACACCTTTACACCTCTATTCTATAATGCTTGACCCAAAGAGGTAAAACAGGTGGGAGAGGTTGACCTGCTTTGTGACTTCCGTGCTACCCTCCAGCCAGTTATGCTGTAAATTCTGTAAATTGTTTTCGTTCTCCCTGCTGTCTTCCACCTCTGGGCTTAGTTTATACTGAGGACTCCAACCACTTGCATATAAGATTGTGGATTCCTCCTTTAAACTGATTCTGTCAGCTTTTCATCTTTCAGTGATTCCTCATAGTTTTAGCTCACTAAGGACATTTCTTGGTTTCTTTTGATGATTGGCTTTTTAAAAAATGGCATTTTTGTTATTTGTGGGGTTAATGGGGAAAGGAAGTTTGCTTGCAGTGTTCTTAGCCTACCATCTTGATTCAGTCAATGATTATATCATTTTTAGTGAAATAAATCTAATAAAGAGAAAATTTTTTAAATCTAGCAAAAAAAATGAAATATTTATAAAATGATTGAATAAATTATGGTTTTTGTTTTGAAGAGTAGATTCAATCATAAATGAAGATTGGCGGTTTAAGTACATAACAATGAAAGCTTCAGTAAATAAAACTTCAGACACGGAATATATTTACATGAAATTGGAAAGGCATATATTTGTGATGTTGCTGGTTTTTCTTGTTTTCTGCTCTTTGGGAGAAGGAAGAAAACATGGGTTCTGAAGTCAGTGTCTACATTGTTTGAATAACCTCTATAGAGGCAACATTAGCCTATGCCTGTAGACTTACGTTGGTTGCTAAGGGAAAAACAGGCCAAAAATGTTCGACAGAGCTCTGAGAAAACATCATAAAAGGATTTTCATTATAACTTTGGTTCAATAATTTTCATTGTTATTCCCTCACTGTTATTCTAAATTTTAAAAAATATTTTTCCAGTATAAAATAATATGTCATAGACTTTTTGGATATTATAAAAGAAGTGATAACCCTCAATCCCAGTCACAGCCACTGTAAACCTTCAGTATATTTCTTTATAGTATTTTTTTAAACCATAGCTTTAAAACAAAATTAAAGTAATATGGTATTGTTTTTCTTCCAGTCCAAAAGTAATGCTTACTCAATGAGAAAACTTGGAAAATAAAGACCAGCACTAAGGAGAAAAAAACAAAAAGCACTCATAATAACCACCCAAAGATAACCTCAATTGAAATTTGGTGTATATGCTTCCTATATTTTTTATGAATATATACAAATAATTTTTTCATTATTAATATGGTGTCATAATCGAGTACTATTCTGTACTTTGCATTTTTCATTTGCAGTATATTGTGAATGTTTTTGTATGTTAGTAAATATTTTTGTATATACTTTTTAGTGTTACATAGAATATGAACACATTTAAGTATGTTTATTTGGCATACTTAACCACCTCCCTATCATTGGGCATTGAAAGTATTTATAACTTTTTACCATCATAAATAATACTATAGTGACTATCTTTGTCCCTACATTTTTCCATGCATCTATGATTGTTTCTTTAGGAATAAATTCCTAGAAGTGGAATAGCTGGGTAAAAGGGTATGTACATTTTAATGCTTTTGGTACATAAAAATGTCAAGTTTTAAGCTAATCACTTGTTATATTCTGTCTTGTATTGCTATATAATTGTTTTATGTGTCTGTCTTGTCTCCCAAATTAGCATATAAGCTTCTTGAGGTCAAGGGAAGTTTCTTACACATCTTACGTATCCTTTGACAGTCTGTGGTTTACAATGTTGGATTTATGAGGAATCAACAAATATTGTATTGATTTACACCTGTGGTTTTACAGGCTTTTGAATGTCATAAACCTGTAAATTTAGAAATATGTGTATTTTGGGGATACACAAGGTTTGCAAATTTTCTATTTTTCCAAGAAAGGATATTAAAAAAACAAAACTACCATTTTCTACAACCTCCATCTCATAAAATAAAGAATGCTTAATAACAAAATGTTTCTAATCTCTGAAAAATGGACAGGTTTTTAAATGGAACATTTTAGCTTTTAGAAAAACTGACTGCCTTATCCATATTTTTCTCATTTTGTGTTGAACGGTTGAATCTTCACCTTAGTCAATCAGTGCTCTGTAGACCAACATTTGAGAACAACTGATTTAAAAGACAGAGGATTAAAAGATAACCCTTTTTTGAAAAATAAATTTCTTCTTGCCCACAAGCCTGTCTTTTTCACAATAAGTACACAAGTGCAGGTAATGCCATTTTTAAATTACACAGAATTTGTGTATCTCAATGTACAAGTACTGCAGTAAACAAAGCAGACCTTGCTAATGAGCATTTAAATATATTCCAATTGCCCAAACCAAAAACTATGTGCTTTTTAAGAAATTTGAGACAGGTTAAGTGTGGTGTAGTGGAGAGAAGGCAGATATTTGAGTCAGATGACCTGGGTTTGAATCCTGACTCTAGCATTACCACTTACTTTCCTTTAGCTTCCTTACTTGTAAAATAAGATAATATCTTCCTCCAAGAGTTTCTGTAGCTCCAGTTCTGGCAATTACTTCACTGTAATGAAATTATTTGTTTAGACATCTGCCTTCCTCACCAGGCCATGAGCTCTTGAGGGTAGGAGTCATGGCTTTTTTTTAGAGCCTCGCCTAGGACTTAATGCATAGCAGGTACTTAAGGAAATGGCCATTGAGTCTGTACATGATTGTTGTGAGGATCAAATGAGGTAATGTGTGAAAGCTCTTTGTAAACTTTAAATTCCATACAAATGTTAATTGTTTTTTATTGCTAATTAGAGCTGTCTTTGGGAGCTATCAAAATTTTGGGTAGAAACAAAATTACCCATTTCACAGTTTTATAATGTTTCCCATTTTTCTTTTATTTTGTAAGAAAACAAGTTTTAATTGGATTAAGATGGAGCTAATTTGCTCCCTGGGAAGGCAGATGAATCCGTTCACCCCTGGCCAATGGAAGTGCCAAGAGATTATTTCATATTTAAAGAATGTGGCCCCTTATTTTATCCTCTTAACCATAAAACTTATAAAAGGATGCCAAACCTGGAAGAGAACAGGAGCCTACATTAATTTTAACATAACTTTTTTTTTTTTTTTACATTCACTGACTTTTAAAAATGTCTTGGTTTCTAATCTGTTTGTAAAGCTTGTGGTGAATTTTTGCCACAAGATGGCATTGGTGATTATTGAATGCATGTTCTTTTGACCCAGAATTCTGAAAAATGGAAAATGGTGCACATAATTGTTTGTATTCTTTTGGGGATGAGTTGAAAACTTTCATCACTGCTTTAATATTAATTTAATTTTGTTTTGACTCCTAAAACAGGGTTAAATGCTACTTTACATCACTTCTTTCTGTATTCAAGTATTGTTTTGTTTCCTGTTTTTCTGTCTTTATAACTACAGTAACTATGTATTATTTGCCATGTGTTGTATGTGTCTGACTTATTGCTGATAATTGTGGTAACAGGTAAGAAGAAAATACGATGGGACCCTGTTAGGAGGCGCTTCATTCAGTCCTGTCCCATCATAAGGATCCCTAACAGGTTTTTGAGAGGTGGGTGTAACTAGCAAGAGATCTGTGCTTCATATGGGTTGAAGGGAACTTGGAATGAATTTTATAAACTCAAAACTCTGGTTTTTAAAAATTGTCTAAACAGCCAAGATTGGAATAAGATAACCCTAGAGCAAATTTAAGCCCGTGTTTCACATTGACCACTGTTGGAATTGTAACTAAGTTTTAGGGAGTTAGAATGACTTAATGTGTATTAGGTGACAGAAATAAATGATCTCATTGATATCACTATTATTCCACTGTAACCATATTAAAAAGAACTTTGAATAATTTATAAAATATGGGTGTGGGAAAGTGTTTTCTAAATATGATTCAAAGGAAGAAATAATTTATGTGGATAAAATATTAAAAACCTCTTATGGTAAAATATAATAAATAAAAAGATATAAGGGGAAGTATTTGTAACAAATGGTTAATATTATGAATATATAAAGAGATTTTATAAATCAACAGTTTAAAAACAAATGCCCATGCCCATTAGAAAAATAGGTAAAAGAACATAAATAGGTAAAAGAATATCAGTTGATAAAAAAAGAAAGTTCAATAAATATGAACAAATATTTATTTCACTATTGTTATAAGCATGATAATTCAAATAATAGATATCATTTTCACCTCTTTGATTTGCAAAGACTAAAAATAAGAATACCCAGTGTTGGCAAGGTTATGGGAAAATGAAGCTTATATATTAAAGAAGGTGTAAATTTAATACAGCCTTTTTGAATTCAGTTTGCCATTATGTATCAAAAGCCTTAAAAATGTTCACATTCTTCGACCTTGTAATCCTCACTTCTATTTTTATTTATTAATTTTTAAAATTTTCATTATTGACAGTATTACAGATATCTCCCATTTTCCCCCACATACCTTCTATTTTTAATATTTTTCCACAAAAAAATAACTCCATAGTGAAAAAAGAAAATTTCAGAAGAGAATTGAAAACTTTGGTTCACACTATTTCTAGATTAACAAATTGTCAGATAAGCATGCTTAATGTTGTAATTTAGACTTTATTAAATTACTTATAAATCAGTGTATCGGATTTTAACTGGAGATTATATTTTTAAAAACTAAAAAAAACCTTGCTGCTATAGATGTTTTTACTACCTACCTATTTTAACAGCCAAATTCCAGAACTTGAAAATAATAAAATCTATTTTAAATGGGTCAAGATAAGATACTTAGGGTGGTGTGCTACCCGTTAGCATCAAAAAATTATTTTATTGATACAAATTAAGAGGTAATTTTAGTGTTATGTGACAAAAAGAACATAGTGCACACACATGGCCAAGCAGGCACATTTAATTCTGTAGCATCTTTTTCTTTTTTTGTGTTATAAATTAGAATGTTAATTTATTGATTTACAATGAGAAAGCTAACTTAGGCTGACTAAATTTAAAATGCAATTAAGAAATTGTTTAATTAGGATATACAATTTAATATAATATCAATTTTGTACAAATATAAACATAAAAAATACAAAGGAAGTAGTGTTATATCTGGATGGTGGGATTTACTTCTGTGTATTCTCTGTTTTTCAATTTTTTAATCATGGAAAAAAGGAGATTAGCACAGGTAAGTTTTATGCCTTTGATTATTTTGTCAGCCCTAAATTGCCTCAAACAATGGCTGAGAAAGACGGTCTCTGACGGTACTAAGAATGAGGCAGGAGTAAACTCAGTATTAGCAATAGCAAGGTCACCCCTGACCACCTCTGAATCAGTGGCCTTGTCTTAGTTCATACCTTCTTTGACCTGTTCGTAGTGTTTGATGCTGTTGACCCACCTGCACCTTCTTAGATTTCTCTTCTTTTGGGTTAGTTTACTGTACAATCCCAGATGTTTTCTTCCTACTTCTTTGATTGTTCATTCTGTTTCCTTCACTAGCTTCTTTCTTCCTACCCACTAAAGGTGGGTATTACTTCAACGTTCTGTCCTCTCCATTATCTCGTTTAGTTATCGCATCAGCTTTCACAGACTTAACTATCTTCGTTCGTTCGTTCGTTCGTTCATTCTTTCATTTGTTCAGTATTTCTTGATTGCCTCCTAACAGGCACTGTGCTAGCTCAGTGAACTAGATAATAGAGAATCAGGTAAAGAAACAGTTACAGAATAAATTGAGTGCAATTCTTTGTGATAAGTGTCCTGATGAGGTAGTATGATATGGGAACATACGGAAGAGGTACCTGGCCCAGCTCATGGGAGGATGGAGAGAGCGTGGCCATTAGGATGACTTTTCAGAAGAGATGTACCTAAAGGCTGGGTGGGTGTAAGAAAGGGAGTGTTGGAACATCTCAAACCACAGGATCAACCAGCTGGAGTAAAGGCAATCAGGCAAAACAGCATGGTCTTTCAGAGAACTTCAGGAAGTCCAGCTTAGTGGGATAGAGTGTGGAGAGAAGTTGGAGAGGGCCCAGGTCAAGTGGGGCACCACCCAATGGGAGTTCTCAGGATCTGTTTGTTTTTCAATTAGTGAAGAAATTTAATTGAAAGGCCAGTGACAAGGTGATTATAATTAATTATTAAGGTGAGAAATGATGGCAGCTACAAGTAAGGCAGTCATAGTAGGAATAGAGAGGAGGGAATTGATTTGAAATCTAAGGAAGTGGAATTAGTTGAGACGACTTATTGAAGAGGAGGGAAAAGTCAAGAAAGCTTCCAGCTTTCTGTATGGACCATGTGCTTGCCACAAGGTGTTATGTAGATGGATGGAGGAGCAGACTGAGGTGAAAGATGACAAATTTAGTGTAATCTCCCCAAACCAATAATAGTGGTTTAGGGAGATTAACTTTTAGATTGAACACTCAATCTATGAGTTATTTCCTGGGGAACTGTCTTGGAAGGCCCATCTCTTTGTTCTGATGGCACCCTGTGTACCCGCCTGTATCATAGCACTTATCACACTGAATTATAGTTGTTTACTTGTTTATGCCTGCCATAGACTGTAAGCTCTCTAAGGGCAGGGACAGTGCTTTTGAGTGGAATTGTATTATCTGTAAGGCCACTGACAGGGAATAGGATGGGACTAAAAATGTAGTACGTTTCAACTTCTCTTTGGTGGTGGTGACAGTAAATAAATGAGTTTCTGAGAATATGAAAATGCTGCTGTTTAGTGTTTACTTAGATTAAAAAAACCTTATCTATGCTTTTGAAATTTCCACTTCTAGGTCTCTCATTTTGGGAATCCTCCACATTACCTGTGTTGATACTGATTGAACACTAGTGCATATGGCTTGTTTTCTACCATAGATTCCTTCACTCAATCTTGTGCCATCTCTAAAATACATTTCTACCAATTAAAATTGTGTGGTGTGAAAACAATACTGATAGAGCGAAAACAATGAGTTTCCTTTGATGAACCTAACATACCCATTTACCTTTCCATGCTTTTCAGATATTACTGAAAATGACAAAACTGACATATGAAAAAGAAATCATAATTGTACTGAAAAATGGAAAAGGGAAGCTTTGAAGTCAGGTTACCTAGGTCTGAATCCAGGCTCTGCCTTTTACCTATTGTGTGACTCTGGGCAAGTTTCTTATTTTGGGGGGCTCAATTTCCTCAGCTGTAAATTAGGATGGTGTTGGCCAGTGTGTTCAATCTTGCTCACCGAAGGGTCTCTGGTTCAATTCCCGGTCAAGGGCATGTACTTCGTTTGCAGGTTTGATCCCCGGCCCCTGTCACCCTGTCAGAGTGAGTGTGGGAGACAGCCAGTTGATATGTCGCTCCCATCGCTCTCTCTCTCTCTCTCTCTCTCTCTCTCTCTCTCTTTCCTCCCTTCTACTTTCTCTAAAAATCAATGGGGAAAAACATCCTCGGGTGAGGATTGACAACAAAAATAATTAAGATAATGATAATAGTACCTACTTCCTAGAGTTGTTGTGAGGCTCAAGAGAGAGAGAGAGTATGAGCAAAGAACACCTAAGATAGTTTTTCCATTTAGCCAATTCATGTTAGCTGCTATCATTCTTATTATTGTTATTATACCAGAAAATTGGTGGAATTTCAGGGTAATAGAAAGTTATTGGAATTATAATGATTGAGAAACGAGAACAGAATAAAATGCAACCTCAATGAGTGCTCCCAGTGCATGCTGGAAGTCAGGAGAATTTCTTAGTACGGCTCCTTTTCTGCAACTCTAAGCCTAGAGTCAGCAAATGTAGAAGGAAGGAGAAGGTTTGAGAAAGATGAAATATTAGGGCAAATAATTAAGGGACTGTCTCTAAAACAGTTATTTCCCCTACTTCTCTCTCTTCATGGAGATTTGGAGACAGTAACACAACTATTGGGGAAACCCATATCTCTTACAATTGTCAATCAATATAGTCCTTCATTTATTAATATGAATAGATGACCAGATATTTGAGGGAAACCAGACTTGAAAGAGGGTGACTAAGATGAACAAATAAAATAGCTGGCAGTGTTGAAAGCAGAGGTAATGATGAAGCAGATTGGAACTTTAGGAAGTTCTGATCATAGGAGGTTTCCTCAGTCAAGAGTAATTGGATCCATAAATAAACCAATACTGTGGAGAAAAAGGAATGACTAAAGAATTAGTTCTATATTGAAAACTTGATTGCTGAAATAAATATGCAGTTGGAGGCTTAAATAATATATAGGCTTAAGGCCAACCTTTATGAAAATAAAGCAAAGGAAATATTCAAACCATAAAGCAAGAAGACAAAAAAAGAAAGGACATAAGGAAAAGTATACTTTGAGGACTGTTCTGTGTGATCCAGTATCCATTCATAGTGTTACAAAAGGAAGGACAGAGGAAGGGAGAAAATAAAGAGTATTTTTCTACGTTGAATAAAGATTCTGAGTTTTCAAGTATAAAGTGCCCACTAGAGAGCAAGCTGGAAGACAACAACAAACAAAAGCATCTGTCTATACATTACTGAACTGTTTATGATTCCAGAGGTAAAGTTCAGATTATAGAGAAAGACTCAAGACTAAGAAGCAGACTGGTGTTGCATTTCTTACCTGTAAACTAGTTTGCCTTCAGTGTTACTGTTTTTTTTTTGTTAACCCTCACTTGAGGATATTTTTCCATTGATTTTTAGAGAGAGTGGGAGGGAGGGGAAGAGACACAGAGAGAGAAACAGCAATGTGAGAAAGATACATCAGTTGGTTGCCACCTGCACATGTCCTGACCGGGCTGGGGATCGAGCCTGCAACTGAGGTACGTTCCCTTGAGCAGAATCGAACCTGTGACCCTTAAGTCCACAGGCTGACGCTCTAACCATTGAGCAACCAGCTAGGGGTTGCTTTTAGTGTTCTGAGGGGAAATTATTTTGAAGGCAGAACTATACCCAACCTCACTAATGTTTAAATAGGGGTCAAAATAAATAAGAACTCTGAAAGTTTATGACATACACTCTTTTTGAGAAAATTACTTGAAGAGGTACTCCTGGTAAATGGAAAATCTAAGAAAGAGAAAGTTTTGGATATAAGAAGCAGTATTGTGCAAAGGAGCAAACAATAAAACCTAGAGTTGCATCTAAATTAAGGAACCGTAAAGCCTCGTATAAAAGTTAAGAAAAGAGTTCTAGCCTGGCCAGTGTGGCTCAATGGTTGAGTGTCGGACCCATGAATCAGGAGGTCATGGTTGGAGTCCAGTCAGGGCACATGACTGGGTTGTGGGCTCGATTCCCAGTAGGGGGAGTGCAGGAGGCAGCCAGTCAATGATTCTCTCTCATCATTGATGTTTCTATCCCTCTCCTTCTCCTTCTCTCTGAAATCAACAAAAACTTTAAAAAAAGAGAAAAGATTTCTAAATATATGTGTGTGTGTATGTATATATCTAACATTCTGTAACATTTCAGATGATTTAAACAAAGTGTGGGTAGGGATAAAGTAACACTGCTAAAGATCTTTTAAATTTTTGTTTTGAAATTTATAAGTATATAGTATGTGCTTATTAAAATTCAAATAATATGGAAATACATAGGGTGAAAAGTGAATGTATCTCAAGCATACATACAAATTTGTACAAATCAGTAAAAAGAAAAAAAGACAGACATCTCAATAGAAGAATGTATACAAAGGTTAAGCAGGCACTTCCCAAAAGGAACAATTCAATTGGCCAATAAACATGAAAAGGTGCTCAACCTCATTTGTAATGAGAGAAATGCACATTAAAACCACAATGAGCCGAAACCGGTTTGGCTCAGTGGATAGAGCGTCGGCCTGCGGACTGAAAGGTCCCAGGTTCGATTCCGGTCAAGGGCATGTACCTGGGTTGCGGGCACATCCCCAGTAGGAGATGTGCAGGAGGCAGCTGATCAATGTCTCTCTCTCATCGATGTTTCTAACTCTCTATCTCTCTCTCTTCCTCTCTGTAAAAAAATCAATAAAATATATTAAAAAAACACCCCACAATGAGATAGGTCTACAAACCCACAGGAATTGCTAAATTAAAACTACAATACCAATACTAAGTATTTTGTAAACAAAAGTTTGGCCTTATCTGGTAAAGGTAAAGATTTTCATACATCTGACTCAGAAATTTCATTTTTAGATTTATAGCCAACAAGTGTGGGCCCCGTGCACCTGAAAACATGTACAAAAAATGTTTATAGCATTAAGAGCCACTAATTTGAAACAACCCAAGTGTCCATTCCTACAATATAGACTGGATAAATTGTGGTATATATTTATACAAGGAAATACTATTTGGCAATGGAAATTAACGGGTGGCCTTTACCCCCAGCAACGTGGATGAATCTCAAAGACATAATTGTGAATGAGAGAGTCCGGTATAATACATCTGTGATGAGGACACTTGAGAGTTAGTGAGGGTCAGTGACTTGCTCAAGGTAACAGAAAGAACCTGGGTTCAAATCTAGACATTTGTAGGAGCCCTTGCTCTTTCACACCACACTTTCTATGTTTCAGGATTCCTAAAAAGAGATATTGAGTCCTTTACCTGAAGTAAATCACAGCTCATGAGTAAACTTTCTGGTTATAGTTTGCCTAATATTATATGTATGCATGTATTTACATAATTATGGTATAATAATCTTATTAATTGCACCTGTATACCCTAATATTTGAGTACTAGGGTACTGAACTATAAGGGCCCTAGGGTTTGTTTAGTTTTTTGATGAGAAAGAGTGGATGGGCTGTACTTGGAGGTATTGCCACAACTAGACATTGAAGGGTAGGCAGACCAGGCCGAGGTCTAAGGGAAGGACTCCGTTTCCCGAGCAGGGAGACAGATGTAAACACGCAGGAGTGTAAGAGCTCAGGACAAGACTAGGTTGTGACAGGCTCTAAATTGCTGGTTGAGGACGGTGAGCAGTAAGGAACCATGAAAGACTCAGGACTGATCGTTTGGACTTGAGTGTTCAACACTTTGTGGTTTGTTTGTTTTCTGGTTTCTCGAGATCTGTACAATTTTTGTTCAGTTCTTGTTTAAAAGCATACCCTAGGAAGTGGAATTATAATTTAAAAAATAAATATATGAGTCTTACGTTAGGTTGGTAATAAATGTTTATTTATATAACAGATGCTTATTAGGTATCCAGCATTGTCCTAAATATTAATTAACATCATACTAGTATTTACTCCTAATATGTGAAAGTAGATAAGTCTTTAGGGTAACAGTCACTATACAGTAGTAGCTTCTTACCATCCAATATATATATATTTAAGCATATTTGGTTCTGCAGCTATGTAAGGGTTTGTGTAGACTGGTATAAAAATTATAAGGATAATAGAAATAATGTAAAGTTTTGGGATTTTTTTTTTACTCTAAAATAATCCTGAAATAATTTTTAGTGAACTGGTTGACCTAATTGAAACTTCAGAAAGCTTTCAAATATAATTGTAGAAATAGCTTTTCCTAGTGTGGAGCTCTCATTAAGAGCTCTTTTAGATAAATATAAGGATATTTTTTCTTAACTGACAGAATATCTGGAGTATTTAAATTCTACATTTTGCTGTAACTCATTGAAAAACCAATTTTCTTTTTAAGTGAATTATTATATACTGTGGAAAAATAATAGGTTTTATGTGTGTGTATTTTTATTTATACATGACTCATTCACATTTGTGATTATATTTATGTAGTTTTCTAATATTTTCAGTTAAATTTAGTTGGCCTGTGCTTTTTTCTCCTCTAAGGAAATAACATTTATCCTTTTAGCTTTTGGATTATTAAACCCCTTCTCTTCCTTTTCTTGAAAATTTCAAGTTATCAGCCATTTTCTTGAGTTTATAACGCTATTTTGCCTCCCTTGGGAAAAATCTTTTTACAGTTATCAAAATCTGAAAGTAGTCATATGAAATAGAAATGGAGACCAGCTCCCTAAAATCTTTAGTGTGTGGGAATGTATAAAATAACCCAAGCAAATAAAAAATACATCCATGTCATAAATCTTCCCTGATCCATTTTAAAGCTAAAAAGATTGTTACCAAATTTTGTTTATGCTTTTAATCTGCTGGGCCATCTGTGGAAAACTGTCCTCCTCTCTCCTAGGCCACAGACCTCCACCTGCACGAAGTGGACATCGTTGTGTGGCAGATAATACCAATCTATATGTATTTGGAGGTTATAACCCAGATTATGATGAATCAGGAGGGCCAGATAATGAAGACTATCCTCTCTTCAGGGAGCTTTGGCGGTATCATTTTGCTACAGGAGTATGGCACCAGATGGGCACAGATGGGTACATGCCCCGGGAATTGGCATCTATGTCACGTGAGTGCAAGCAGTTCTGAACTTTTGACTTCATGAGCTGTCTGAGAGGTCCTGTTCAATGTCACTTGTTCTTTGTTAATAATTTATAGTAACACTGTAATATGATTAAACCCTGTTCATGGCTAGTTCACACATGGTATCAGTTTAATTTTCATAACATCCCTACTGCGGGTACTGGATATATTGCCATGGTACAAATGAAGAAGCTGAGGCTGAGAGAGGCCCTCTGGGTAGTGGCTAAGAATACAGGCCCTGGAGCCAACTGCCGGGATTGAATGCTAATTTGGCAAGGTTCTTTTTAGGAAACCTTCAACAAGTGATTTAAACCACTTACCACTTCTGTTTCATTATCTATAAAATGGAGAAGATAATAGTTCCTACCTCACAGGGTTATTGTGAAGATTTAATTTAGAGATTAAGTAACTTTCCTGGGGTCACACAGGAATTTAAACCTAGCTTTTTGCTGGCTCTAGAGCCCATGCTGTTGACTCTTACACTCTATTGAAAGAGTGGTAAAAATGCCATTGAAATAATATGGTAGAACTATTTTGGGAGTATTTGCCATCAGAGAAGGAAAGAAGGTATGTGTGACTGTGTGTGTGTGTGTGTTGGCAGGAATAGAAGAGATACAGAGAAGAACACCAAAGTTACCAGCTGTGATCAAATGTAGAGATCATTCCCCTGGCAAAAACAGTGATTCTTTTACCCTTTCATTCTGAGTCCCACTGGTCCTTGCTGGACAAAGATGATACTTCATTTTCCTCTGTTTCGTTGTACACTTGCATTGTCCTGAGCAGTAGTGGTGTACTATAATTCATATCATTCAATATTGTTACCCTATCTAATAAAGAAGTAATATGCAAATTGACCATCACTCCAACACACAAGATGGCCAACCCCATTTGGACAAAGATGGCCACCACAAGATGGCCAGCAGGGAAGGGCAGTTGTGGGCAATCAGGCCAGCAGGGGAGGGCAGTTGGGGGCGACCAGGCTGGCAGGGGAGCGCAGTTGGGAGTGGCCAGGCCTGCAAGGGAGGGCAATTGGGAGTGACCAGGCCTGCAGGGGAGGGTAGTTAGGGGCACCCAGGCTGGCAAGGGAGGGAAGTTAGGGGTGACCAGGCCAGCATGGGAGGGTAGTTGGGGGTGACCAGGCCTGCAGGGGAGGGCCATTGGGGGTGACCAGGCTGGAAGGGGAGGGCAGTTAGGGGCAATCTGGCCGGCAGGGGAGCAGTTAGGTGTCAATCAGGCTGGCAGGGGGGCACGTAGGCATCGATCAGGCTGGCAGGGGAGTGTTTAGGGGGTGATCAGGCTGGCAGGCAGAAGTGGTTAGGGGCAATCAGGTAGGCAGGCAGGCGAACGGGTGTGAGCCAGCAGTCCTGGATTGTGAGAGGGATCCCAGATTGGAGAGGGTGCAGGCTGGGTTGAGGGACACACCCCCCCTCCCCGTGCACGAATTTCATGCACCAGGCCTCTAGTATGATATATTCCATTTGGCATGAATTAGATCTTTTTTGGAGAACTCTGTAGTAGTTAGATGTCAGTGGTTTGAGCTATCTTCTGAGGGCATTTAAGCAGACATTTTTGAGTTTCTCAGATATTCTGAGTTTGTGTTGTTATACATTTTAGGTACCCAGTACATAAACGGAATTTGTGCTTCTTCCCCAGTTGTGCTGCATGGAAACAACCTGTTAGTGTTTGGAGGTACAGGCATCCCATTTGGTGAGAGCAACGGAAATGATGTCCATGTCTGTAATGTGAAGTATAAGAGATGGGCTTTACTCAGCTGTCGGGGGAAGAAACCCAGTCGTATATATGGACAGGTACCAATCTATGGCTGGTCATGGTGGATTATTTGTTTGGATCTTTCTAGTTCTGGGAACAAACAATGTCAGAATCTTTATATTACTACCAATTTTTGTTTGTTTGTTTTTGTTAATCCTCACCTGCAGATATTTTTCCCATTAATTTTTAGAGCAAGTGGAAGGGAGGGAGGGAAAGGGAGAGAGAAAGAGAGAAACATCGATGTGAGGGAAACATTGATTGGTTGCCTCCTGCCCGCACCTTGACCAGGGACCAGGGCTGGGGATTAAACCTGCAACCCAGGTACGTACTCTTGACCAAAATGGAACCCAGTACACGGGCCAACACTCCAACCACTGAGCAACATGGCCAGGGCACTACCAATTGTTTAAGTGGAGAGTAAATTCACTGTAGTTAATATTTGTTTTTTCAGTTCTGATGTGAAATTGTAATTTGTAAATCTGGTATTTTGCCTTCTCTCCTTTATTTCTAATCCAATTTAGGATTATGATGTAGACCTGTATGGAAGTTTCTTAAATGTCAGGACCCCACCCCACCTTCACTCCCATCCCCAACAAGAAATTGGGCTCCATATGGTCTGGGTCTTGTCATCTTTAGAGTGAAAGGATTCTTTGAAGAGTTTTTTTTACCTAAGTAGCAGAGAATGTGATCCCTGCACTTAGTTAAGATCTGAGCTAAAACACATTATGTAGAGATTAGTTTCCAGTTAGGTTCAAGTGCTTCAAACCTAGGTTTGAAACAATATGTCCAAAAAGTTAGGGTGCCACTCACCATACATCAGAGACCCTTTGAGAATAATGGCTAAGCTTAAAATAATCAGTCTTTGTTTCTTACTTGACTGGCAGACATCAGTACTGATAGTAGCTTCTGGCTATGTGTAGAGGCACATACTGGATAACTCTATATTTCACAACAGGAGGCATTTAAACTCTTAAGAAATGACAATAAAAATAGCCAAACTTACTTTGAAGAAGAAAGAGTCTGGTGGAAACGTCAAGTTTTGGGGACTGACTGTCAACTCTACCAGTAGATCTTACCTAAGGAATTCTGGTGGCTTATTTTCATTTCTGCTCCTTCTGCTTGAGAGCATTTTTCTTCAAATTGCTTAGGAAGAGAAACAGTTTTCTTTTTCTTTTTAAAATATACGTTTTTATTGATTTCAGAGAGGAAAAGAGAGAGAGAGAGAGATAGAAACATCAATGATGAGAGAGAATCATTGATTGGCTGCCTCCTGCATGCCTCACATTGGGGATTAAGCCTGCAACCAGGGCATATGCCCTGACTGGGAATTGAACTGTGACTTCCTGGTCCATAGGTTGACACTCAACCACTGAGCCATGCTGGCCAGGCGAGAAGCAGTTTTTAATGAAAATGCTCACGTCCATGATCTATAAATTCTTTGGTTGACTAGAAGCCCTAATGATCCTCTGACCCCCTTGCCAATCTAGGTGGAACTGGCTTTCCAGTTGAGTAAACTTTATCTTTCTAAAAATAATCTCTGTGCCCTGGCCAGTGCAGCTCAGTTGGCTAGTGTAGCTTAGTGTGGCTCCCATGCTCTGAAAGGTTGCCTGTTTGATTCCCACGATGCCTGGGTTTGGGGCTCCACTTTGGGAGGCATGTGGGAGGCAGCTGATCAGTGTCTTGCTCTCACATCGATGTCCCTCCCTCTTTTATCCATACCTTCTCCCTTCCCGTCTCTCTCTCAAAATAAAAATAAAAATAATCTCTGTGTTCTCTAAAATCTTTAGTTCATTATGGGTCTTGTGTTTTAGAAGGTTAAAAAAATATAAGAGGCCCGGCTGGTGTGGCTCAGTGATTCAGTGTCAAACTATGAACCAGGAGGTCACGGTTCGGTTCCTGGTCAGAGCACATGCCCAGGTTTTGGGCTCAATCCCTAGTAGGGGGCATGCAGGAGGCAGCCACTCCATGATTCTTTCTCATCATTGATGTTTCTGTCTCTTTCTCCCTCTCCCTTCCTCTCTCTGAAATCAATAAAAATATTTTTTTAAAAATACAAGAGAATTTCATAAAACCTGATTTGGGGGTATTTAATAAGTTTATATTCTTTAATCAAGTGCTAATGAGTCAGTCTTTTTCACCTTTCCTTGTTTTTCAGGCCATGGCTATCATCAATGGCTCCCTTTATGTCTTTGGAGGGACAACTGGCTACATTTACAGCACAGACCTGCACAAATTAGATCTTAATACCAGAGAGTGGACACAACTGAAACCAAACAACCTATCCTGTGATCTTCCAGAAGAGAGGTAAGGTTCTAAGATTAAAGCACATTTATTCTTTCTTCCAAAGATTTGACTTTTTTCCAGATATTAGTAATACGGTTTGAAGAAAATCCTTTGGCCTGGTTAAAATAGCTAACTGGTTGTTACATTCCAGTTCATCATTAAAGAAGGATCTCCTGGTAAGGGAGTGATATTTCCCTCTGAGCTCTAGAAATTTTTTCATGTTATTTTCTCTTATACTCCACTTTTCCTGCATTAGGAAGATAGTAACACTTTGAAGAAGAAACCAATGGTAGTAATGTAACTAAATTTCATATCACAGGCAAAACAACTACTTTCTAGTTATTTTTTTCATTTTCCATCTTAATTTGCATATTTTGATTCTTTGGCTCATTTGCTCACACCTGTATCATCAGTATAGGGCTTAGTGCCATGCCTATAGTGGTACTATATGAAAATTGATTGGATGGATGGATGGATGAGAAAGAGGGAGGGAGGTATGGAGGGAGAGAAGAAGGGAGAGAGAGAGGGAGGGAGTGGAGGGTTCTTCAAGTTCTCTGTTAAACACTCAGACAGCACATGATTCACTCTAGTTGCCTTCTAGTAGACCCTAGATCAGACGTGGGCAAACTACGGCCCGCGGGCCAGATCCGGCCCATTTGAAATGAATGAAACTAAAAAAAAAAAAGACCGTACCCTTTTATGTAATGATGTTTACTTTGAATTTATATTAGTTCACACAAACACTCCATCCATGCTTTTGTTCCGGCCCTCTGGTCCAGTTTAAGAACCCATTGTGGCCCTCGAGTCAAAAAGTTTGCCCACCCCTGCCCTAGATCTTTCACTTTTCTTTCCTGATGGTGGTTTCTGCTTCTTAGAGTTAAACTCACTGGAAAACTTAGAATGATCTTTTGCCCTCTAGTTTAAAAGCAAGGGTATAGTAAATAATTTTTTAATTGTTTTGTTTAATCTAAGGTCTCTTTGTTGTCTTTAAGCAAAATGGTATATAGATGCTAAGGAAGAATTTATCTTTATTTTAGTATAGTAATGGGCTGACTTGCAGAACTTACCATGAGAGGACTTGGGAAATGGAATAATTTTTTTTTTTTGAAATGGAATAATTTTTATGTAATTTATTTTATCAGCATTTATTTCCTTCATGGAAAGGAAGAAATAGATGAAGTTTTCAAAGCATTTTAATATGGTTGCCTTCTTTGAATTATTTTATGTACATATTATAAATTGTTTCAGCTTGTAGCTAGGCTGCTTGGATAAAAGTTCTGGTAGGCATTTCACATTATATTCACAGTTCTCTATAGCATAATTTTCCTGGTATCTTTGTATCTGTTAAATAAGTATTTTAGTTTGAAAGCCCATGGTCTAGAGTTTCTAATTAAATGTAGGCAGATCACTTTTTAAATCTCTATAATAGCTTCCCTCCTTATGCAAAGTTATCACAAAAAGATTATAGAAAATCTAGAAGATATAAATAAGCAAAATGAAGAAAATATAAAACAAAATCTAAACTCAGAGATAACCAGGGTTAATATTTTGGAATATTTTGGATGTCACCTTATAATCATTTTCCTTGCATATTTATGTATCTATCATTTATTTTTCTTTTGAGAGTACATTTATTAAAACTGGGGACACAGGGCTTGGGGCACAAGAAGCAACAGGAGAGCGCTTAAGCCAGCTGTGGGCAAACTACGGCCCGCGGGCCAGATCCGGCCCATTTGAAATGAATAAAACTATTGAAAAAAAAGACTGTACTCTTTTATGTAATGATGTTTACTTTGAATTTATATTAGTTCACACAAACACTCCATCCATGCTTTCGTTCCGGCCCTCCGGTCCATTTTTAAGAACCCATTGTGGCCCTCAAGTCAAAAAGTTTGCCCACCCCTGGCCTAGGCAGTGCTCTGCTTTGGCTCTCCAGAAATGGTAGAGGAAAGAAGTGGTCCATAATTACAACTGAAATACGAGAAGGCTTCCTGAATAATCAACGGAAAACTCACAGGAGAGAACCCTGATACCCAAGGACCAAAGGTGGAGCTGGCATAGAGACTGGTAGGAGGGGCAGAGACGTGACCCACGGAGGGGAACTGAAGTCACAGAGAGATATCTCAGCCAGTGGTAGAGCAGGGAGAGGTGCCACTGAGAATTCTGGGATCTAATCCTGGAACTGGGCTCCCCAGCAGAGAGCACCAAAGCTGAGGAAGGTATCCACGTAGCATCAAGCTGTGAAAAGCAGTGGGGTGCTGTCTGCCAGGGAGTGGCAGCTGAAAGTTCAGGCACCCTCTTAACACATA